CCTTGTGGGGCAAGACTTGCTTCAGTGGGGCTTTGGTGCTCACTGAGTCTGCCCCCTGAGTGTGTCCCTTATGGATTTGAGGAGTTGTAATCTGGATGGTACCACTCTGTCCTCTGGGTGCACTGGCACATGGATCTCTAAGGAGGTGCTAATTTAGCCTCTGCCTGAGGCTACCCAGCAGGAGCTATGGAGAGATCTGCAGATTCCTCTTCTTTGTTTGGGGTTTGGAGGTGCCCAGATGAGGTCCAGCTGTGAAGCAATGCAAACTGCTGTGGGGCCTTGGGCCTCTTTTGGAAGTTCTGGTCTCTCTGACCCAGCTCCAGTTTGTTAGGTAATTTTCAGATTGTAAAGGGCCAGGCCTTTCATATGCAAAGCCTCTGTGCACAGCTTGGGTGGGGCAGGGTCTCAGGGGATCAACAGGACAGAGCAAGCAGCTATGGCTATTCCTCAGTTCTACCCTAAGAGGCCAAGCGTCTCAGTGTACCGGTAATCTCTGTAAGCACCTCTGAGAGAAAGCTGCCCTCGAGTTCTGTCTGATACCAGACCGTCCAGTTTCTCTTCTTATGAGTGTATAAATCTGGGTCCCCAGAGGAACTGGAGTTCAGAGCAGTCAGGAGCTTGAGACTCCCTCTCTATTGAAAAAGACAACTGTGCCCTTAGTTGCCAGCCCTTTCCACGTGTGCCTCCGTACCTCTGCACTTGACTTCCACACCTCCTCTGAGTCTCAGTGTGCTTTTCTCTTTCCTTCTAGTTGTAGAATTTCCACTCAGCCAGCCTTCCTGTGGTTCTGGGAGATGTCCATTTTGTCTTTTAGTTGTATTTATGAAAGGGTTGTGTGAGGCAGCAATTTCCGGTGTTTACCTATGCTGCCATGTTGGTTTCTCTCCCCTGCCGTTTCTTCTGTTAACTTATTAACTCCCTCTCTTTCCACCCTCCAGCCTACTATATAGTTTAATTTAGGATCATGTCATCACGATTACTGCGTTTTTAATCACTATGATAGGCTTATTATTACTTATAGTATGACACAATTTTGTTTTCCTTCAATTTAAATTTCTTTCTATTTATTGCACATCTTTTCAGTCTCCATAAAAAGCCCAAGGATTGATTGGCTGTTAAGTACAACTTGTTCCACAGAAAGCAAGATGAAATCAACATCATGGAAATGCTTGAGAAGAGAACCAAACCAAAAATGGAACCAGCAACCTTCTTCCACATTTACCTTCTTCCTCCAAGGAGCAGTTTACTTACCCAGCATTACATTTAAAGTGAGCTTGTGAGCCAAACTCCATACTTCCGTTAGCGTACACTACGTCACCATTTACGAGGTCTCCTAGGTTTTGACATGCCTTTTCTAAAAGGAAAATTTCAAATTTGTTGTTTTATATCAATGTCAAAACAGATTTGAATCAAAATAAAAATTCTACATTGTGCTATTAAATCAATGGAAATATTTTGTCTTATTTATTTTTATTACATTTTATTTATTGGGGTGACATTAGTTAATAAGCTTACATAGGTTTCAAGTGTACACTTTTATGTTATACTAGAGGCCCAGTGCATGAAAATCATGCATGGGTAGGGTCCCTAGCGGCTGCCCGCAGGGGGCGGGTGGGTCTCCCTTCCCCCGGCCACCTGTCCTGTCACCAACGCTGGCCATGTTCCGCACTTTTCCCTGGTGGTCAGCACACGTATAACTCCTGGTTGGTCGAATTCCCACCCGTAGGGAAAATTTGCATATTAGCCTTTTATTATATAGGATGATCTGCATATTGCACTGTGTGCCCAGCACCCAAAGCCAAATCATCTCCCATCACATATATTTGGTCTCCTTTACCCTTCAGCCCCATACCCTCCAACTCTTCCCTCTGATAACCACCAAACTGTGGTCTGTGTCTATGAGTTTCAGTTTCATAACTCACATATGAGTGAAATCATATGGTTCTTTGCTTTCTCTGACTGACTTATTTCCCTTAGCATAATATTCGTGAGGTCCATCCATGTTGCCACTGATGGCCAAACTTAAGATTCACATTTACCCAGAGCATTAATGGCCAAATTGAAAATTGCCTGGAGATTTTCAATGCCTAAAAAAGTACATTGCTACATAAAATCTACATCCACATGAGAAAGCCATCATGTTAATAGTGGAATATGCAGTCTATAATGTGTGAAAATCTTTAGAGCAATAAAAATAAAAATGTTGTGTACTTACTTGTACAAGCCTCCTGGAGAGGAGGTACCCATGTGTTACTGGGCTGACAAACAGTAGACATGGGAAGAACAGGAACAATACGCTTGTATCCTAGGCGACACTCATATTCTATTGTGTCCCCAGCATTATAAGAGGCTTTAGGATTACCCTTAATTTTCATAGATTGGTATCTTGGTGGGTCATCACAGGCATCTGGGCATGAGAGAATAAGAACATGAAAGTCAAGTATTTTCTTTTCCAACAGCCACGGGTTATGGCCTAGCAGCAGGCAGGTTGTACAGAATAAATGGAAGGTCCTTGGGCAGATTTTAAGTGACTGTGCCAGGCTTTTACCAGATGATGAGCTGTGCTTGCTTTAAATAACATCCTATTAGTGTTTGGTTTCTTTGGGAATAACCTGACTATTCTTTCAACAGTAAATTGAAGAAACAGCAGCAATATTTTTGGTTTAAAATATATTTATAGATATGCATCCTTCCCATTTTTTCCTGAGTTCATTTCACACTCAACTCCCCCCTAAGAGGACTTCTATAGTATATAGCCCTTGTTCAGAGTACTCTTCCACAGTTTGAAACCTAAACTGATGATGACTTGTCACTTGAGGTTCAGTCTCCTCTCAGGAGGCACGTTCCTAGAGGTCAGGGACCATATGCTTTCTTTTCCTACTACACTCTGTGCCCCCTGTGTGCTCAAGAAATGCTATGGTAAGTGCTGACTGTTAAATAAGCATTGTGGATTTCATAGATCAAAATAAATATGGACTAAACTATTTTAAAATATATGACCTCATGTCATATGTTTCATATCAGTGAACTGAGTAAATAAAGGTCAATTAAATGTTAAAATTTATAACTTTGACATTATTTTAAGTATAATTTATTCTTCCTTCACTGAAATTCTAATCAATGGATCATGCTTGGCCTCAAAAGTTTTCTGAGGTAGCTGTTTAAACTGTATTACAATATTGCTATGCCATTAGAATTTTTTATTTCTGGATTTTTGGTAGTTTTTTTCTTCCTAAAATAGTACCTTTTTGACTTCAGCTATTCCTCTTTCTTTAAATTGTCTGTGGGCTTGACAAACTAACTAAGCTGATAGAATTAGTATGTAAGATCGTGTGGTGGAGACACATCAAGTAAAGTCCTGAAGGGCTAAAAGCATGCAGAGGTCCCTCCTATAAGATTAAGGATCTAAGAAAGGAGCTAGGTCTATGCTGATCCCTGAGAAACCTCTTTTCTTATTCCCTGGATTGGTCTTATGTCAGATTGATGTTAAACTTTAAGATATATATTTGTATTTCTATCAAATCAAAAAAACGATGTGACTTTAAATTAAATTTATGGGGTAATATTGGTTAATAACATTATGTAAATTTCAGGTGTGCAAAGTTGTAAAAGGCCATCCTGAGACTCTAACTGTG